TCCAGTTCGACTTTCGCCTCGCGGGCGTTTCTTTGGAACAACGCCGGGACAAATCTCGTGTAGCGTCGACGACGACGGTGCAGAGGTGAATGCCTCTGGTAATGACTCTCGATTGGATTAATTTATTATTGTTTATAAATACTTATAGAAACTATAAGCTCACTTTATATAAGACCAGTCGATCAGCTGGTCTTCCGATTGACGAGCATGATCGTGTGTCAAGACGTCCCGATCTTCATCTCGCGATGCGAACGAGATTGTTCTCAGATTGTTTAATGAAAGTGCAGTTCAACATGAGCACGTTTTATTTATTTTCGAAGATAACATAAATCGAACCGACCTCTACCCGTTGTGTGTGTGTATGTGTATGCATGTGTATGGTAGTAAATATTTGTTTCGTAACGTTATTTAATTAATATGTGCTTACGAAGTAAAGCAACACACATTTTGCTCAGACAAAGCGAACGCTTTTGCAATGATAGAAACAACAGGAAGATAAGATAATTCTAAAAACGGTGACAGAGCACAGAGGCATTCGTCAGTGACCATAAAAGTTTCCGTCAGGTGGTTTCCACGTTACGCGGCGTAACCTGATTAGCATGTGGCCTTGGTCATTACCCTTAATAAAAGTTGCGCCGGCTATAATCGTAAAGACGCTCTTACCGCGAAGAAACGAAAGAAGGTGAAGGATGAACAGATCATCAACCGCGATCGTGCGTATCGATTGTTTCCCTTTTCAAGCGGACTGGTGTATTCGACACTTGGACAGGTTTGCACCGCGCGCAATATCGATGTGTCGAGGCTGCGACAGTAGTTCGTTCATAAGAAACGTTTCGTCGTGGTTAATCAGACTGCACAAAGTTCATCTAATGTCTATTTCTACCAACGTCGATTAAACCTTAATTTGAGTTTCAACTCTCATCAGACAAAGATTTAAGCTCAGATTAACCCTAGAATACCACACCCATACTGTTGTTGCAACGTCCACCGTTTCTATACAGTAAAAAATAGGAGATCGAGATTTGAGGGGAAAAAACTGTCTTTTTTCTGCCTATGCTGGACAGTCCTATCTGCTGTTTAGCAGATGTAAAAGACACTGTTAAAATCGATTTTAACATTAAAATTTTTCATGCTGAAACAATTTCTTTTGAATTATTCTACATTTTTTTCCAAAAATTACATTTCCTTCCATTAAAAAACGGCAATTGATTTTATACAATACAGTATTATAAAAAAAAAATTATAAATTTTCAAGTCAATAACCTCTTTGTGATTAAAGAAATTTCCATTCAGCTTTTTCGCAAACTTTCCTTTTTTATAAAACCTTTCGTAATTAATGATATAAGCTTATTCTTGATATTTTGGTTTTCAAATTTAAAAAAATACATTAAAAAATATTCGCTCTTTTCAAAGAAATATTGCTAGCTAAAAGTAGCTCTGTGCGTTATATTACGTACAGTGTGATGAAATTGAGACTTGAAAGAAGTATGGTATTCTAGGATTAAGATTTAATTGACATTGGTAGAAACAGAAACATAAGACACGTCGAATGGTGGCAAAGGTCCTCTCAGATGTCAGGTTCCTTTTAAATACTAATACAACCTCGCGTATCGTCATACATATATAACGTGCGAAGTCATTTCTCGCAAAGTTGATTAGTTCGTGTGCGGCTAATATATGGCACACGAAAATAATAACTTCATAAAAATAATCGCAGGAAACATTGAAACGTGATACAGCTTCGTGCTGTCAAAACTGTCATTTATTCACGACACACTCGCAAAGTGCGTCATTTACGAATGACGTATCTCGTATCGCGACCGAGTCAAAATCAATCGACACATGTTATTTCTTCGCTTCCACAATCAGCTGAAATTCTCTCGTCGCTGCGTGACGGTTTATCGTCGTATTTGATAAAAAAGTATACAGTACTAGTAATTGCCGTTTAATTTGTTTTCGTCGAATAATCTAATTATGATTTCACCATATCCATATGGGAAGACTATTTTTTTGATTGCATTGATTTCAACTTGTCACAGAAATAGAAGAATATATAGATTGACGTCGATTTAAGTATCTTTACTCCGTGAGAGATACCCTCTGTTCGTCCATGACACACTCCATATGACAGCTTCGACAGCTCGATGCGCACCACGTTTTAACGTCAATATTCCGTGACTTATTTGTATCCTGTTATTATTGCCAGCACGTACCATGGACTGATTATTCGCGTACGAATAAGACAACATCGAGGAGCACCTTCAATATTATTACACGAAGAATTCGATGTCCGGCGATGACAGATCCATTATTTTGCAATATATCATAGTTGAACATGTGAACTCTTTAGTCACTGATTGATCGACTTTAAGGATCGACTAAAACGCTTTTCTTTAAAAAAATATATTATTATTATTCGACATTCTTCTCAATATTGCAGAATTTTATTTTAAAATTTCTTCAGAAATCCACCACTGATAATTGACTCAGTAAGGCTGGGATTTCCTGTATACAAACACATATGTTTTAAAAGTAAAATTAAGTAGCAAGCATGTAGTACGATCAATCAACAAGATATTCTGAGAATCGTTATACGCAAACTAGCAAATTATTATCTATAAGTAGGAACAACTACGTCAGATGAATAGAAAAACCGCAATGTCCGGAATTATCTTCTGTGGAGACGAGATTGTTAAGCGCGTTGAGTTGTATAGTCTCTTGTTTCTCTAATTTATATAATTAGATATATTCTTCCATGCAACAAAATGTGATGATTTCAATGTGGAATCAGGTCCGTATAAACAGGAACTAACTCTACAAATATTGATTAATAAAATACATTAAAACTATAAAAATTCGATGAAAAGATGAACTCGTAAGTATGACAATTTACTATTCAAGCAGCAGTCGTTTGCTGTGAGCAATGCCATCGAAATTCTTCTCTTTCTCTCTTTCTCTTTTTTCACTGATAAGACAAAAGCCGTGATGATGGATATTAGGAAAATCAACTGCGCTTCGCCTAAAACACTACTTAGTATTTTAGTAGATGGTACAGTGCTCACATATTTCTTTGATAAAGTTGATAAAGTTAAATATTTGAGAGTAATTTTTGCTACTAATCTCCCTTGGAACTTACCAGCGATACAAGAACCCTTATGACTTTATATCAGTTGAAACAATATATCTGTTCTTTATAGCTGCACTTTCTGTCTATCTTATGATATTTCTATCTTCTTTCTTCTGTTTAGTGCAATTATAAGCAACAGATCTAATGTAACTCTGTGAGCTAACTGTTGGCTCTTTTCGATATACTCTATATATATGCAGCTTAAACTTTGGCTATGATTTACTTTGTTATGACTCTTTCATTTTCATTCTTATTGTTATATTTCCAATTTACCACTTTTCTGATAAATTCTTTTATCCTCTGTATACTTTGATACTTTAATACTTTTAATTTATCACTTTATGTATAATTTTATTAATTATATATTGTATCCTGTGCGCTTAAAAGGAATTTTGTCAGAGCGCTTAATAAATAATGCTTTCTCTCTCTCTGTCTCTCTCCGTAAATCAAGAGAACACGATCGCGCAAATTTATCGAAGTTATCCTTCAATTTGTGAAACCATAAGCCGATCATCGCGTCGGCACGATCGACGTCTGCACGTGCACCTTATGTTCAATTAACTAGGTTCTCTATTCCCTATTAACTGGGTTCTCCAGTTATACAGCTGGATTTCCGTCCTTATACAAAGCGGGCCGTCGAAGAGTTTCGAGGTTGTTTCTATAACCGAGCGGACTTATCGTTCGCGCGTAATGCTTCTAAAGTGTGCGGCGAGCCAAGTTTCGGAAACTCGGCCAAATTTACGCACATTATTCGCAAACTCATTCGGTCGTTAACCCTTACCCTTCATTATAAATATTGCTTATTCTCTCAAGATCTGCGTGATATTAAGGACATTCACCAACTCAGTGCGTCCTGAGTATGATTATTGGTACGATCTCGATAAATCCCTCAGAAGTAAATAATGATAAAGACTCGAAAATACACAATCAACAAATGACATAATCCCTAGAGAGCCTGAGACGCAAGATATAGTGCGTGAAATATAACGCACGGATACGTGAGATATTATATCAAAGTGAACAAGATCACTCATGTAAACATATATATTTCGATCTTTCTGAATCCTAAGAACGGACGTGCGTCAACTTCTTTATTAACGTTTTTTTCATTTGTAACCGTTTCGACAAATCGAAATTATCATGCACAGTAATAAGGAAATGTCTCCTTGCTATTCAAATCGGCTTCGTGAGTCAGTAATACCACGTACTTATCACAACTGCTTCAATGCATAAGATCAGAATGAAAATCGGGCTTTTTGTTATTTTCATGACTTCTCGTTTCTGTTCTTATTGATGTCTGATTCAAACGTAACTCAATTCAGTAATCTACGAAGATATAATCTACGAAGATATAAGAAACAACATTAAGAAAAACAGATTACTTATAACATGCATTTATACAAAATTCAATATGGAAAAATAGATTGAAAGTAGATGGAACAAATTTTTGCTGACTTGAGAAAAATTATCGATTTAAATTAGGAATTGAAAAATTGAAAACATCATTTGTCCTTCATTAATGTTGTCGAATTCGTTTGACAAACCGCTATCAACGCGCATATACATAAATGAGACATGAGCATTTTCATTTTTTATGAAATACTTCTCCAAAAATTCCCTCTTCTTCTTCTCTCTCTTCTAACATCGTAAAACAATAAAAACGCTAGGTCGAAATGTACATTTTGTGATTTTTGATAAAAAGAATCCCTCTGATTTTCTTATCAATTCGCATAACCGGGGAAATGTTCTCCTAGATGGAAATCTACAAGAAAGAGAGAGAGGGGGGGAGAGAGGGAGAGAGAGAGAGTGAGTGAGTGAGGGAAAGAGAGGGCGTGAGGGGAGGGAGAGGACGTTTAAATACGAGCAGAAGCGCGCGCGCTACTTCAGTCCGGCACTAACAGTCGAAACAGATTCGTATCCTGATCTCGAAGGAAGGCTGCAACCTCCCTTTAAGAGTCTTCCTTCTCGTCAGTCGTCTCTTCAAAAGAGACCGTCGAGGAAGAAAAGCGTCAACAAGAGAGGGGAAACGAGAAGCCTTCGACTAGCATTTCGGCAAGCGTGTCTGTTTTCCGACTGACTGAAAAAGCCGGGCCGAAAGTGGCAGACAGATTGTAGGACAACAGTGTGTTTTTTTGTGGTTATGTGTTAGTGAGAACCGGCGGAAGAGCAAGGCGAGCTTGGCACAGAAACATCAGTCTAGTCGCTATGACTAACAGCATGAAGCAAACAGTTATCAAGTAAGTTGCTGTAATTATTATTTGTCAGAAACAGCCGTAGCGATTTCTTCGCGATGTACAAAAGATACTCGCGAAAATACATTTCTCAAGCCGCGTCTTGCCTTGCTCATAGCCTCCGACTGCAATTCTCCGACTCGTACGATGCAATTTTGATGATACAACTGTCGTGCTGAGCTACAGTAATGTGCCGATAATGATAATCGTCGTACAAGAAACCGAATGGAAACAATGGCACAAACCATTGCGGTCTGCGTTACATTTAAGCACGGTAGTCGTTAATTCCATTATTTCTCGGATATTCTTTGACCAACTGTGAGATTGTCTTAATCCTCGCACATCTATGAGTCCTTGAAACAATGTACCATTGAGCTATTGACGAATAATCCCTTTTAACCGCGAGAATTGCCTTGATAAATGTCACGTCATAGACGATCGCAAGAATTTGACGATTTGCATGAATCGAGAATAAGTGGCGCAAGAGAATAACAAGATTTTGCGCTTTGCACGATTATTAAGGTAACTTTATCATACATTTGAGATGCGCGTGGGCGGGCAACTTCTTCCGCAAATATCTCTCCTCGACTTTGAGACACAAATGAGAGACTTTTGCGTTGACATGAAAAAGACACGTGTTCAACAGTAGCAAACTACTGGCCCGCCACTTACACCGGAACACTCCATGCGCCGTTTTTTCCCTTTCTGCCGGCGTGTATTAGCGAAACCGTCCTTTTACCAGCGAGTGACTTATGCAACGTTGTTAAAAACTGGTCGTCCGGTGAAACCAGGTGAGATCAATCGCGCAGTGGCAGCGTATTTCATAAGAGATGAAAGTGTCATTACGTACGATAACGATTCCTATCTATTAGACGAATTATCGGTCATCATCGATGTCCACATATCAGAGGTCATTGGAGTTTTTCCCTTCTCCGGGAGAATGTCTAACGTATATACATAATATACTTGGCGCATGGAATATCAAAGCCGGCAACTAAAGTGATGTTACAGACATATGTAGTCCAGTAAGACGGTAAAACACAGTGAATGTGAACGATATATGATTTTCACGAAAAATACATCGAGAGAATAGTGTCTGGATATTTATTTGGTGGGTAATGACGATTTGCTTAAAACTAAATTCTTTCATTTGAATAGAATAAACAATAATTTGACTTGACAGACTGAAGTTCTGAGAAAAAATGTATATTTTTTTATTTGAGAAATATTTTATATTAGGAAATCTGTTTTTTTCTTCATCAATATATCGACCAAATAAATATTTTTCATTTCTTAGATATTTTTTGATTCATGTGTACATGTTCTATATTTGCATATATCGACCTGCATTCTCATCACAACTCTATGCCAAGTATAGGAGAGACCAGGGCTAGTTGACTACTGGGATGAATTAGCAAAATCAATTATTTCTATTATTCTTTAACAGATTTCAGAATCAAGCAAGCAGGAATTTTAAAGTCATCTTTGACATGTTTAAAAATCTTGCTTACTTAATTCTGTAACTCTTATTAGAAAATAGGAAAATAATCGGTTTTGTCAACTTACCCCGATAGCTAACTAGTCCCGATCTCCCTTAACGTTTTTTAGTATTGTCCATTTAATATTCAAGAGACCATCGTGAAATTTTTTTATTCTAGTGTGAATTTATTCGTAAAATTAAGGTAGAAAATCGTCGCATTTTATGAACTAGAAAAAAAGATTCACGATCGATTGCATGATTTCGTGTCAGCATAAATATCACTTTAAGCACAATGAAAATACGTGATATTGTGTTGCTGACTTTTGAACGATCGCATTGTATTTTACTTAATTTAATAGACATTATTATGCATATACGAACACCTGCTGATTATCGCGTATCTCATTATCATATCGTGTTATTCTAATTTTACGATCATTACGTAAGACAACCTTCTCACGGTTATTGCAAACGATATGTAAATGTTGCAGATGCCGAAGACTGCACAAGTCTGTGACTCAAAGAAGGCTCGTTATGCTCACTCTTATTATACCGTCATATTTCTCGGTTTTGATTACTATATTCAGTCTTGATTATTAAATTACGCACAACAACGCGATATCATACCTTGTTGAATCCAATTACGATCTGGATGATAACCAACCGCGAGTCGATCGCAACTTATGTACTTAAAAATGGAACTTATTCGTCACGTTTAAAGTTTATTCACCAGTATATATTTTTACCAGTATGTTTATTCACCAGTATGTATGTATTTTCAAGGCGCCCAAAGAGCGCATCAAGAAAGTTATTCATACATTCGATATTTTTATCGAATAAAATTACGTTTTTATATATTTATATCACTATCCAAACAACAAAGGTTAATTTGAAACTAATTTTATGATACTACCTTGCCACGTTTCACTCAATACAGTGTTACCTAAAGTAAAAGCAGCAGTTTTCTAGCCTATGATCGACCATTACACAAAAAATAGTGTAGCGAATACTATTCTTTCCTTTATGCCGCATTTCCTAATATGTAACGTGTATAACGATAAATTTTTTATTATATCACTTTATGAACTTACATTGGAATAATAGTCATCATATTATTTCTGCCATAAAATGCGCCATAATATACGCATTACATGCGCAAAGTTACGATATCCAGTATTAATTTTTACACGAGTGGTACATCGAAAAAAGTTTAGTTGAATTAAATAAATTTCTGGTAAAAAAATATAAACGAAGTTAACGAGATTTCTGGTTGACTTGAACAGAATTCTGATAACTTCAACCGGAATGTTCTAGTCCGTTCATATTTCATGCGAGAAATTGATTAATCCAACAAAAATCTCTGTATACAAACAAATTGCATGAAACTTTAAAGACGAATGTATTTTACTGCAATAAATGTTACGTTAAATTCTCGTCTAATTTTGAGCATTTCGGTTCAATAAACTCTTTATTCGCTGAATAAACTCCTTAAAGTCCGACTCAGGTGCTTCAATTAAAGTCCACTGAGCGATAGCCGCTGCTCGATGAGTTTCGACTCACCACGAGGATAAAAGAGCGAGGCACTTCAGTGCGAGATCTCGCGATTTCAATGCACGCAACGCGAGTCGACGATAAAACGTACCCAGGCATTGATGTTACGTCAAAAATCAGAGACCGGCCATCGTACAGAGAAACGAAGAAAAAAAAACTCGATGACTCGAGAAAAAGAAAGCCTCGCTTCGACGCAGCTTATAGCGGATCCTACTGATAAATATTCATCCAACTTTGTATATCGCGCCTCTTACCTCGTGCTGATCTTGACCTTCTGCCCGTGTGAAGAATTCATTATAAATGCCTGAGAATTGTGTTCCTTCTCGAGGAGGAATGTATCCTTCGGGCGTCGCGAGAGGATATCGTCGCGAGAACACACTACAGGTCTGTTCGTCTTTGAAGAATTTCTGCACTAGTGCAATAAGTTACAGTGAGACAAATATACTTTCTTTCACTCTGACTTATTGCACTAGTTCGAAATGAGGAGCATACCTCATGACTCCGCCAAGTTAGGATCGTGTCGTGACTCCCGAATTGTCTGGAGACTTCCGTGTGACTCGAGTGAGCGTGTGTTGACAATGATACTTAATTGTAACGTTACAGACGTTTGTCCAAGACGCGAAACCACACGTAACGCTGAGTGAAAAACTATAAAACGTCGGACGTTGAAACATCTCAGCTCACTACGAGTTATACGCGCTGCTGAGCGCTCTTAACGGTCGTTAGCAGTCTATATAATCGCCCAACGGGAAGGTTGCAGCTCGTGACTTCAGTCTGTAATCATAGTCTCAGTGCCGATATAATGTAACGCAATTGAGAATACCTATTCATCATTCTGTTGAAAAATTAAGGAGTGCCTTAAGATTGCACAGCAATGCTAAAAGGATTTTTGCGTATTTTAATGCGCCAGATGTAAAAGTCGGACTCTTGCATACGAGCGAAATCTATCTTCCGGTGAATAGAAACTACCTCAGCGGGGAAGTAATTCCGTATGTTGAGAGAGAGAGAGAGAGAGAGAGAGAGAGAGAGAGAGAGGGAGAGAGAGAGAGACCGATCAAGCCGCGCGTCGTATACGACGAGACACGTGGCGAGCGGCGAACTTGTCGAATGAATAGTCGGTTCACGCCAGGTGAAAGTCTCCCGCGAGGTGCGCCGACGTTGGACGTTTATGGTTCATGGTGCAAGTTTACAAACACCGGGCTCCGAGTTATCATGCATTACGACAGCGCGGCATATGCAAAGTGTGCATAAAATTCGCACGATAAGCGCCCCATTAAATTTTTTCGCGAGTAACCCATCACGAAGAGCCGCGATAAATCGATTTCATAGAAGCTGTATATTTAGCAACATATTTTGTGAGATGCATCGGGATACACGCGGATTCTCGTTTGCGGTGATCTGCGATATCATAAATTTGGAGATCGACGATAAATCTGCTCGGAAATGCATACGTAAGAAAAATTGCAAATTATACACATTCGCTATATGAAGAGAATTTTATAGTGAAATTTATCGTAAGATAAGCGAGAAATGAACCGACATTCTGCGCTAATAGACTATCCAATCGTTTCATATACGCTATTTATATCTTAGGAAGTGAAATGTACTTAGTGGAAATGCTTGCAACGAAATTTACCATGTTTTTTCGCAAGACAGATCTCACTATTCAGTCTATTCCTGCACTGGAAAAAAAAGAAATATCTAAGAAACAGTAAATATTTATTCAATGAGTACTATATAACAATATATTTATTTACACTAATATAAAATATTTTTTAAATAAGAAAATATATATTTTCCTAAAACCTTAACTTTTCATGAAAGTAATTGCTTTTTCTATTTAAATAAAAGAATTTAGATTTATGCAAATATATTACTAATACCCACCAAGAAATTGTTTATTTTTTACATATTTTTCTATCACACACACATACAATGTAGAAACATGGTAAAATTGAAAAAAATTTATTGAAAA